CGGCCGGGTCTCCGCGCGCGAGCGGCGCGCGCGCCCCCGTGGGCCCCGGCGCGAGAAGAGTCGGCGGCCGGAGCCGTCACCCCGGGCGGGGACCCTGCGCAGGCGACTCTGCGCGGCGGCCCGGCCGAGGGAGGGAGCGAGCGAGCGGGCGAGCGGGAGGCAGCTGCCGGCGCCCGAAGGGCCGAAAGAGGTAGGAGCTGCGGGGTCAGCTCTGGGCTCGGGGCCTGAGGGAGAGGCCGGGGAGACGGCCCGGGCGGGGCCCAGCTCCCCGGCAGCCCAGACGCCCGGCACAGTCGCGCCGCCGCCATCGCTCCGGGGCAGGGAGGCGGCCGCGGTGGCTGCGCGCTGGGTGAGGGGCGGTGGGGGACTAGGGGCCCGGGCGCGCGAGGGGCGCTTTGCAGAGGCTGCGGCGCGCGGAAGGTGCGGAGTCGAGGCGGTGCGCGTGTGTCTGCGGAGGGGGTGTGAGGGACCCCGGAGCCCATCCTTGAGAGCCCAGAGGGCTGCTCTTACCTACTCACACTTTCGTGATGCCGTTCCGAGTAGTCCCCGCTGTCTCCTTGCCTTTCCTCGTCCTTTCAAAAGAAGTATCTGCAACTCCCGGGGGTGGGGTGAGGCCAGGGGGGCCCGGTGGGGTGGGGGGTATTAGCAGAGCTTCAGGGAGCAGTGCCTTATAAGGAGTTAAGGCAACCAATATGATAAGGCTCTGGGTGCGGGACCCCACATCAGGACCCGCCAGGCCCGGGCTCGTGCGTGTGCCAGTGGGATGCAGCGTGTTCTCTCTTTCTAGCCCAGGCTAGAGAGTGAAAAAGTGCTCCTGGTGTCGGGGGGGTAGATGTGGAGAGTGGGAGAAAAGGGAGTCGTATGTCACAAAAGCTGGTCTGAAGCTAAAGGAATCTGGCAAGATGGTCAGGCTGATCAAAGAGGAAAGAACTTGTGTGGGGCAAGAGGCGATTGCAAACACTTGTAGCCAGCAGTGATGGAAAAGGCAAAGAAGAAAAACAAGTACCAGCGCTTAGGAAGATGAGATTAATGAAAACCACAAGAATTTTCGAGGCAAAAAGAGATAGCAATCCTCGTTTCCCGAAGAGCCATGCCCAGTTCTTTTTCTTCTTGTCCCCTGTGATCCTGTCATAGCTTTGTAGCAAATAAATAATGCTAAAAGCGGGTTATAGGCGGTTAGAATTGGAAAGGGTCAAGCGATTATGCTACTTTCTTTTATTGTACAAACGAGGAAACTGAGGCCCAGAGAGGTGGAGTAAGTGGCCTGCTCAGTCCACACAGCTGTGTTCAGGGACTGAGATGTTGGTCCGAGGACTCTCAGGTCAGTGCTCTTTCCAAAGCACAGTGAAATGGTAGATCTTTGCCTCAATACAGTTTCATAAATTATCTCTGGAATGTCCACGGGGAATGCCCCTTGAAAGGGCTGGTGTGTCACCAAATTATTAAAGTGAGTTTATGTCGTTTTTTCAGTCTTCAAATGGTGTTAATTAATCATCCGCTTGTATCTTAGATTTCCAAAGTGGTTGGATAGCTGCCTAGGCCATAATAAGCTTTCAGCTGTTGAGTATCTTATCTCAAGTAATTTTGTTATTGTTCAGCTAAGATAATAGAACTTTGCCTCTTTCCTCAGTGTTCTTCTGTTCTTGTTCATTTGTTTATATTGTTTATAGTCATTTGCTACAGTTCTTAGAAGAGGATGTATTTTATTTAGTGTGCCTCATGTTTTTCTAATTTTATTTTGTAACACTGTGAACATTGGATGGGTTCTGATAATTTTAAATGGATTCCACCATTTGAAAGCTTATTTTAAGGCTTCAGGTTTTTTATTTGTTTTGGTACCAATTTCTGTCTCATGGAAGATCGCAGTGTTAGAAATGATAGCGTAAATGGGAAAGGGGTTGCTAATTTTCAGAAAAATTTCCTGTGCAACAATTTGTGATGTCTGTTGTTATTTAATTAAAACAGCACCACATCTTTGGTCAGGTAAATGTTATCTGGTAGATTACTTGTTTTCTGTAGCCTTAGGAAGATGAAAATTTCAAGCACCTGGTTGAGACATAAGGAAGGAATGAAGAGATCTTTAAAAAAAAAACAAAAAACACAAAACATCAGAAAAAAAAAGTTGATTTCTATCACAAGCAGTTTGGTTATTGCATAACTTGGAGCTAAACTGCAGAAAATCTTTGCTGTATACTCAAGTAAATAAATTATCCCACCTTCTCACTCGCTCTTATCACTATTCACATTTTTGCCAACACAATGTTAATATGGATTGTGTTAAGAAATTTAAGGTGGATATGTTTCTCTTAAATAGGTACTTCACGATATATATGATAGAAGGGGAAAACAGTGCTATCATTGTTTGGAGTGTTACAACATAAATATTTTGGTCAGCACTTCCTATTGAGCCCGAACTTCTCATTTCATCTTCATTTTCTTGCTCTCAATTGATTTTTTAAAATTGTAATTACAGAGGCAAAAACCACATCAAGACTAGTAAAAGGTGTCATTTAATGCTCTTTTGGTACTTATGTCAGTTTTTTTTCAAGTTATGTTAAAATTATTTCAAGTTACATTCAAATTATTTGTGATTTGTATTAGGTTTGTATTTATGAATGTGCTTGTGGTGGTTCATTTGGCTTGTTTTTATGTAAGTAGATAATACAGGTAGTCTTATTATAAAAAGAAGATGTTTTAAGTAGGTAAATTATATGTTCAAGATTAGATTGCAGATTGAAGGTAAAATCAAAAGGAAGCTTAATTCTAGTGCCCTACAAACATGTATGTATTCATAAAGAACTCACAGATTTCTGGACATTCTACCAGTGGCACATTTGTTTCCCTTCTATTAGAGGGTAAGATCACCACATTATCCCTACAAAAGGAAGCAAAAACCTCCCATTTAAAAAATTTGTTTAGAGTATTTGAAACTTATTCTTTTAAAAAGTTATCTGAAAATTCCAGGTTACTGGGCTCTTCAGAAAAATATTCTTTTGCTGCATAATAAAGTATCAAGATATTTTGACTCTGGAACTTCTTAATAAAAATAATGTTTAGAAGTTAGCTCTAAAGTGTATCACTGTCCCCAATTTTGTGTGGTATTTAAAGGAAAAAACTTTTCTTTAAATCTGAGCTTTGTTAATAGAACTGTTCTAAACCAGAAGTATTTTTTTCCCCTGCAATGTTGGAAACACAAGAGTTTTATGCTTATTTCTGGGAATAAGAAAGTCAGATTTAGCAATCTATTTTCCATTGATCAGACAGTTTTTTTGTACATTTAAATCATGAGCATCACAGTGATAAAAAGTTTTCTTTTGAAAGTTTTATTCACTCTTAATTATAATATCCTTGTTTAAAGTAGACTATTGACATTGGATATGTTCTTTTTTTTAATGTTATATGTAGATGATGTATTATGGATATATTCTTATTAATGATGATTCTTTACTACTGAAAAGTCTAAGCCAGTTTGGAGAAGGTCTTACATATCTAAATCTATGCTATTTTTACTAATCAAAGAGAGAAGTAATTTACAGGTGTTAGATTTTTAGTTGGTTGAATAAGACCCTTACTTTTGGTGGTTTCAGGGTTCTAGATGACGTTTTATTACTTTTGTTAGTTTTGGTCACACCCATGACTTCTATCTTTGAGGTTTGGTTTCCTTTTTTTTTTTTAATATGGTAATATTGGGGTGGGGGCGCTTCCTGTTTGTATTTCCAAATTAGGTCCACATGTTAACCTTCTCGTATTGTCATATTTTAATTTTAAACGTAAAGACAAGCATCAGATGCCATGTGGTTTATCTTTGAGCCTTGTACTGCTTCATGACAGCTTTTACTAAGCTCAGTTTGAATACCCAACTGGGAAGTCATTCCTGAATCCCCAACTCTCTTCAAGATTTAGCAGCCTTGGAAGAAATCTTAAAACAACAACAACAACAACAGTAAAGTGATAACAACAACAAAGGCACAATTAACAGAAAAACGGCGCTGTTGCCATCTGTTTCCTCCCAGGTACCTAGAAAATGCACAGCACTAAGAGCTGAAACATGTTATGTGGAACCTTGAATGTCAGCCTTTAAAGAGCGGTTGCCACAGGTTTATATAATATAGAACCCCACGTATTAAGCAGTGACTATAGCAGTTTTTCTGACCTTGCCTAAAAGCCATACAGAATGTCATGGAGGAGTTGAATAAGAACAAGGAGAAATTTAGATTTGTATAGTGGTACAACTTTGGAGGAATCACCCTGAGCCATAAAACTCTTCCTTGACCCTCCTGAGTAATTTTTACGTGGTAGGTTACTGTTTAATAAATGTTGGAATATGGAGTCTTGAGAAGTATATCCTTGAAAGGAGAATGTAATAGTATTGTTTCAGTGATTGAAGCAAGTGGCCTTTTCTGGGCCTTCAACTAACTTTATTCTAAGAAGTGTAATGACTAAATAGACTCCTAATTAAATTGGCATTCACATATGTTTGCAGTTTGGGGACAGCTTATCTCCTAAATTTTCTTTTGGATCACATTACTAAAGGCAATACTACATTAACATGTTGCACAGTTATGCATTATGCATTTTGCAAATGGGGTTAATACATAGACTATCTTGACCTTTCATATTCCCCCCAATATTCAAGAAAGGAGAAATTGTAATTTTTCACATAGTGGATATTTTCTTCTTTGGGTTTTTTCATAATAATTATATCTATTTCCCATGTATTATAATCCTATTAAGATGAAAAATATATATATTGTTTGATAAAGAACACGTATTTCTTTTTGGAAGCTGGCTTGCAAAATCTACTCCAGTACTCTCTCTCCATTTATGCTTCCATCGCCTTTGGCACTCTGACTAATTCTTTGTATTTTCCCAGGTTTCTATTATGAAGAGAAATATCTCCATATTCTATGCACTGCTAGTTTTCTGAAGTGCTTGTGCTGACTCATTTTTTAAATTATACTAAGATGTAGAGTATGGTTTGAGAGCAGTAATGAGATTCTCAGAAAATATGAAAACTTTCCTTTCTGACTCGTTAGAGAAAGGTTGGGGAAGACAAGGGGAAATACATCAGTGAGCCAGTCAATTATTGTTATTTGTTGGGATTAATTTGGTGACTAATATTTTCAATGCCCATCAGGCTAGTAAAAGTGAATTCGGTTTTACCCTTCAATAATCACAGGACAAACCCAA